CGCCTCCGCTGCAGAGAGGGTCACAGCGGTGGGCACCACCGCCTCCCCACCGCCCCCTCGTCCGCTTCTCAGCTCCCCACCCTGCTCGGCCCAGGGACTGCCTCAGTTTCCCTCCTACTCCTTCCCACAGCGTCCCCGGCTTCTAACTCACCCCCAAATCCCCAAGGACTCAGAGCCCAGGGTCCTCCCGGAGGGGTGACTGAGGGGACCCTCCCCAGGCCCACGGTCACCAGCGTGGACTCTGGGCCTCTGGTCACCCCGCTCCCTGCTAACCCTCCACAGGGGAAGCCCCTGGTCCAGATGGAGCCCTGTGGCCTTGGCCCCAGGCCAAGTTCGGAGCTGTGTGTCCAGGCCCAGAGTCCTCCTGCTCCTGCACGTATTTCTCACCTACTAGAAGGCTGACTGGTTTTCCTGACACGCCTAGCGGCCTTGACCCACACAGGGACCAGGGAGCCTGAGCCCCTGGGCCAGGATGTTTTGGGGGACCCCTCTCCTGATCCCCGATCCGGTGGACCACAGACACTCGCACCTGCATCCGGACGACAGAGGCCATTGCCGGGCAGGGCCCCCCAGGAGATGCACAGCACACTCACTTTCCTCCATGTTCCGGATGGAGGAGAGGTAGCCAAAGCCCAGGTACAGCCCAGCGTCTATCTTCTCGGGGACCCGCACGAAGCCCAGAGCAGAGTCCTTGAACAGCAGGTCCTTCTTCCCCGGGGGCGAGCCAAAGAGCTGGAATGCCGATGACTTGTTTCTTCCAAACTTTTCCTAATGCAGGGAAAACAGAATTATGGAGTTAGCAGTGAGTAGGGAGGAAACCAAGCCCCAGTGTTGAAAATGAGTAGGTAGAATTTGGGGGGATAATTATGAAGGCAGGGACCTGGGCCTTCTCAGAGCTCAGCTTGGCCCAGTCTCTGGGAAATGGTGGGGCTCAGAGCCTTTGAGCCCAGGGAAAGTCGCATGGTACACGCACGCCCACACACACGCTCACACACACACTCACACACTTCCGCTGCAGCCGTGAGCTGCCGGGGATCAGCAGTGCAAGAGGAGTCCGGCATTCCTGCCATCCAGGCTGGTGTTCCCCGAACCCAGAGGGGCTTCCAGAGTGGCCCAAGTCAAGGGTGAAGGTTTGCATCACACCCCAGTTCCACACAGGTGGGGAGCATCACAGGTTAGGCTACCTGCGCCTGGCGGAGAAACTCCCAGATCAAGTCCTCCTTGCCGTTCACACTGCGGGCCACGACAGCGTGAGAGGAGACACGGGCCAGGTGGCACTGCTTATACTCGTCCACGGGCCTCCAGGTGTTGTCCAGGCACAGTAGCTTGTACTGATCCCGCTGGGCCTTGTCTGGCAGGTCCTCTGCGGGAGGGAGAGGCCCAGGAGGGAGAGGCCCAGGTGAGCCAGAACTCCGCTCCTCTCATGCGATTCAGAGCCAGAGGAGACACCCTGCCCCGCTGACAGAAGTGAGAGGCGGGAAGGCAGTGTGATGTCCAGGGCTGATCCCACGGTTAGGAGGCGGGGCCTGGTTAGAAGTGGGTTATGGGGTGTGACTGGAGGAGCGGATCTCTTTCCCAGGCTCTTCCCTCCACTCCCTGCTTCCTGGCTGCCATGAGGTGAGCAGCCTTCCCCCTCCCAGGCCCTTCCACATGTCATGTCTGCCTTGGAGCCAGTGACCATGGACTGAGCCCTCTGAAACCGTGAGCCGAATCGTGCCTCACTCCTTCAAGGTGTGGGTGTCAAGTATTCTGTGTCAGCAACGAACACTGATACAGGTGGTGAATCAGACTGAGGGTGTGGCTCGGGCACAGCACTCCCCTGGCATGTGTGAGACCCTATATTCCATCGACTGCCTGGAAGGAAGGAAGGCAGGAAGTGGGGGGGGGGAGGGAAATTCTGAGAAGAAAGGTAGTGAATGGCTCCAATACTCTCAGCCCCAGAAAGAGCCAGGGGCTGGCAGAGCTTCGAGCCTCTGACTGAACACACCCTGCGGCCTGACTAGAAAGGGTCACCTCACAGAGTGCCTCCCCCCTGCCGCATCTCCAGGAGGAATAAGAACAACCAAAAGATTAAGGCAGAAAATACCCTTGAGTCATTTCCGACACTGGGCCTGTCATAGAATGGAAAGCGTTTCTATGAGTGAGTTTGGCCAGAATTTGGAAGTTTTCATCTATATTGTATCTAGCTTGCTGCAGAATTTAGAAAGTAACAGAAACCCATCATTTCATGAGATTAGGGAAACCCTGATGTTAAAATCAGAAGAAGAGGTGCAGAAGGAAAAACGGATGGGCCTATTTCTTTTATGGACATTAATGCAAAAATCCCAAACAGCATATTAGCTAACAGTGGCATTTAAAGGGCTAATAGATCGGGATTGATGTTTGCATTTATTCTGTTGATAAAAAGACTGGGTGAGAAAGAACAGGCAAAGGTTATTTGCCAGGCTGTTGATGGAGGATGGGAATCACGAAGCCTTCGGATTTCACTGCAGCAGAAACAATGTGTGTTCAACAGCTATTCATGACATTATTCGGCTTCAGAAAACGAGTAACTTAGAGAACCTGGTCAAGTTCTTGAACTGGATAATTACCACTTATCAAAATTTCTAACGCAAAAGTGCAAGGACCTGAGTTCAATCCCTGGTACCGAAAAAAAAAAAAAATTCTAACACAAAACTGCAACTAAAGAAAGAAATTTTATATATGTTGAACCATGGCTCAACATATGCAAATCCATGAAGGTGACACACTATATTGACAGAGTCAAGGACAAAAACCACATGATCATCTCAATAGATGCAGAAACAGCATTTGACAAAATTCAACACCCTGCAGAAAATTGGAATAGATGGTCTTTATCTCAACTTGATAAAGGTTATCTATGAAAAACCAACAGCCAACATCATACTAAATGGTCAAAAACTGAAAATCTTCATGCTAAAATCAGGAACAAGACAAGGGTGCCCACTATCACCACTCCTGTTCAATATAGTTTTGGAAACATTAGCCACCGCAGTTAGACAAGAGAAAAAAATAAAAGGAATAAAAATAGGAAAGGAAGATGTTAAACTTTCATTATTTGCTGACGATATAATACGCTACATAGAAGACCCAAAACACTCCGCCAAAAGACTCCTAGACTTAATTGACAGATTCAGTAGAGTGGCCAGATAGATATAAAGTCAATACTCAAAAATCAATAGCCTTCTAGTACACAAATAACAGACTCACTAGGAGGAAATTAGGGAAACAATCCCTTTCACAATAGCATCCAAAAAATGAAATATCTCAGAATCAATCAAATGAAGGAAGCAAAAGGCCCCCTACATTGAGAACTACAACACTCTGAAAAAAAGAGATCAAAGAGGATGTAAGAAAATGGAAAGACATTCCTTGTTCCTGGGTAGGAAGAATCAATATAGTGAAAATAGCAATACTTCCAAAACTGCTACACAGATTCAATGCAATCCCTATTGAAATCCCAACAGTATATTTCACAGTATATTTCCAAAAATTCATTTGGAACCAGAAGAGACCTAGAATAGCAAAAGCAATTCTAGGTAACAGAGACAGGGCAGGGGCCATCACAGTCCCCAACTTGAAACTATACTACAAATCCACTGTGATAAAAACAGTATGGTATTGGCAAAGAAACAGACCTGAGGATCAGTGGAACAGATTAGAAGATACAGAAATAACCCCAGAAATACTCAGCTACCTCATCTTTGACAAAGGAGCCAACCATGCTCACTGGAGGAAAGATAGCCTCTTTAATAAACGGTGTTGGAAAAATTTGATTTCAACTCACTGCAAGAGAAACAGCTGACAGAGCTAAGAGAGACAACCTACAATGTGGGAAAAAATTTTTACCAGCTGTTCCTCAGACAAAGGTCTACTCAAAAACTTCAGACCCCCCCAAATATAAAGACCTGATTCAAAAATGGGCATCTGAAATGAACAGACATTTCTCAGAGAAACAAGTAAAATCACAAAATAAACATAGGAAAAAAATGTTCACCATCACTGGTCATTTGAGAGATGCAGATGAAAACACTGAGATTTCACCTCACCCCAGAAAGAATGGCTGCTATCAAGAAATCAACAAACAACAAATGCTAGCAGGGTTGTGGGGAGAAGGCCTTCTCCATTGTTGGTGGAAGTGCAGACTGGTGCAACCACTGTGGAAATCAATATGGAGATACCTCAAAGAACTAGGACTAGAGGTTCCATTTGACCCAGCTATTCCTCTGCTGGGTATCCTCCCAAAAGAATTACAAGAATCATACCACAGTGATATACGCACACCCATGTTTATAGTGGCACAGTTTGTAATAGCTAAAGCATAGAAACAGTTCAGTTTCCCATCAACTGGAGACTGGATAAAGAAGATGTCGTTTTGGCTGGGGATTTAGCTCAGTGGTTCCAGCGCCTGCCTCACAAGCACAAGGACCCACATTTGATCCCCGGTACAAAAAAAAAAAAAAAAAAAGACATATTTTTCTTTAATAAAATGGAGTACTACTCAGCCATAAAGAACAAAAAACTAGAGAGATTTATAGCTAAGTGGATGCACTCTTAAGTGACATTAATAGGACACATATGTGTAAATACCAAATAGTTTCCCAGGTGTGAAAAACTAAAAGTATAAATGAGGATCAAATTATATAATTGAGAATATGAAATAGGAAGAAAAGGTCTAAAAGGGTAGGGGGAGTGGGAGGGGTAGGGGAAAGGAATGAAGGGAAAAGAAAAAATATGAGAAAAGGAAAAAAGTGGAAACAAAGTCTTTGTAAATAGGGAGGGGTGGAGGGAGTGAAGGGTGGGCTGGGAATGGGGAAAAAATAAGAACCAAGATACATCATGTAAAGGTACAAGATCCCAATGATGAATGTAACTGTATCATATAACTAAAATGTACCAATAAACTTAGTGGGAAAAAAAGGAAGTTTTGCCAAGGTCAGGATTCCTCCTATCCCAACCCCAATACAATCATATGTAGCTGGATCACACAATTTATAAAAGAAAGAAAAAATAAGCTCTCATTATTTAAGATGATAGAATTATCTACCTAGAAAAGCCAATAAAGCAACATCAAACAGACAAAATAACAGTTCAAAAGGGTAACAAGTTATATAACCAGCCAACAAAAAACCCGTTACGAGTAGTAACTAAAAAGAAATAATATAGAATACAAGGTATTACAATGGCAACTAAAACCATTAAATATTTAGTAGGCTATAAAAGTGCACAATACCCATAATAAGAAAAGTGTGACGCTCTATCAGAAGACACAAGAAGCCTGATCCAATGGGAAGATTTAACATCATCACAGATTAGACAACCTAACATCCATGGATCAACTAAAATTCCACACAGATCCAACAAAATGGGCTGGGGATGTAGCTCCGTGGCACCGTGCCTGCCTTGCAAGTGCAAGGTCCTGAGTTTGATCTCCAGTACCATGCCCAAAAATAAATAAATAAATAAAACACGTCCCTAAGTTTGATACCTGATACAGCAAAGAAAGAAAGAAAGAAAAGAAATGGAACAAAAATAATTCTAAACTTTTAGCTCAGAAAAATTGAAAATAAATAGCAAAGTGGGGATAGGCACTCCCTCTATTAGCGAGAGCTTCCAAGCGCCAGGGTAATAAAAACAGAAAAACACAAACACACGAGCAAAGTCAGAGAGCTGAGCAGCCGAGCACGTGGATTTGCACAGACCTGGTGAAGAGCTGACTCCCCGTACCACAGGCACACAGGTGGGGCTTTGGTTGCCGTTACGGGGAAATTGTCTACAAAGGGGAAAGGCTAAGCCAAATCCATGGCTGATTTCCCGACGGGTGTACACGGAGGCATTGTAGGAATCATTAATCTTATTAACTGAATCTTCATGATTTGGGGGTGAAATGAGCATCTTTAAAAGACCCCAAAACCACAAATCAGCAGGCAAAACTGATGGGTTTTGGCTTATCGATTCCAGTCTAAACCCTACGACGGTTCAATATCTAGGCAGAGACCGCTCCTGTACTTGAAACCCTGACGGAACAAGTCAAGTCTATAAAATAAGAACAAAAAGCCCAAGCTGCAGCAGACACATGAAGAGAACCAGCACTGAGGCTGTTCTATAGCCATCATCCCGGCAAACAAAATGAATGTCAGAAAAACTCGAAGCGGGGCAGAAGCGAGGACATTAGCAGAGATGAACTTGAGCAGAATTGAAATCTTGAGAGCGCCGTACCCCTCCTGGGGGCCTGGATGGCTGCTCGGGTGCCCCTGTCGGTACCTAGTCAGGCCTCACGGTGAGTCGGGAAGAGGACGCGGGCTGTGTGAGGCGAGGAGAGGACACACCCGGTGTCCACCGCTGGCCGTGTCCCACCCCAAGTCCTCCGGGACTGTGAGCGCCACTGTCTCGCGTGTGCACGCACACGAGCAAAGTCAGAACGGCAAGGAAACCCGATGGCAGGTGTGCACCTGAGGCCCCAGACGGCTCTTACCAAACACTGTGCTTGCCTTGATGAAGGCCACGTCTCCAGCCCCCTCTCTGAGACACCTGCGAAGTAAGAGAGCCCTGCAGGTGAGCGGCCTGGGCCTGAATTGACAACGTGCCCCTAGCGGGCGGGCAGGCACGCGGGTATCCCTGCACACGAGGAGCCCACGGCTCCCAGAAGGTGGTGGACCGGCCAGTCAGGCAGGGCAGAGGTAGGGACATCAGCCTGGACACCGCATGCTCCTTCCCAACTGGCCCCAAACGACCAGACACCTTCAGCCCCACAGTGCCCAGGGGAGGGGCCGGGGTCAGCAGAACCGAGGACACTGGGGCCCTGCCCCCTGCCAGAGGCTGAGCCAGCTGGGCCCTAGCAGAGGCTTCCTGGGCTGGGGCTGTGTGGCCCCCAGTGGGGGCCAAGACAGTGTCACTCACTTGAAGGCTCCAGAGTAGCCGAAGTAGGGCTCCTGGGTGGAGAAGGCACATTTATCTTTCCCTGTCCCTGCACACAGGCGACACAAGTTGGGAAACCGAGCTCCATCCGCTCCAGGAACGCAGCTGGCTGAGAAGAACCTGGACACAGCTGTGGAGCAGAGAGGGGCCACAGAGTGGAGCCAGCCCTGCCTCAGTGTCACCCCTGCAGTGACCCGGGACGCAGCCGCTTCCCCACCCTGCCCGGCACCCTCTGGCGTGGGCTGGGAGCTCAGAATGGCTCCCCAGGATGCCTCCTTCCCCACCAGCCTTCCCCTACCCTGGAGTCGCCAGGCACCGTGTGACCCACAGTGGCCCACGCCCACGGCCGTTTTACCTGCCTCGATGGGCTCGGGGGGTCCAGTCCAGTTCAAGAACGGGCGGAGAACCCCTATGGGGACCCTCCACCCCGCGGTCCTGCGGATGCCGGTGTGGCAGGAGCGCAGGCCCCGCAGCTGGTCCAGCCGGAAGTTGCTGCTCCTCTTGGCCACGGCCACAGCGTAATAGTGCGTCTGGGGCTCTGCGGGGCGGGGGACCCGCAAGTCAGCCCTG